TGTGCACTGGAGGAAATTGATTAGATTAAGATAACATTTTAATCAGTCTTTCTTACTCTGGAAATATCACAAAATTTTAAAGAGTTGAAGTCAGAAAATTTAAAGTTAATTTCACTTAACTTAATGCTGTTCATTAAGAGCTATCATGACTCTAAGGGACTGGCAGGTATTTTCTTATGAAGGTGGTAAATGAATGTTGTGTTGTTGTGTGCCGTCGAGTCGGCCCCGACTCATAGCAACCCCTCCTTGAGTTTCTGAGGCAGTATCACTAGGGAAGTAGGATTGCCCAACCTTCCTTCCGAGGAGTGGCTGGTGGGTTTGAACCGCCAGCCTTCTGGTTAGCAGTCAAGTGCTTTAGCCACTATGCTACCAGAGCTCCTGGTAAATGAATAAGAAATGGTAATTGAAATGACAGAGCTCTGGTAGCTTAGTGCCTAAGGCACTTGACTGCTAACCAGAAGGTGGCAGTTTAAATCCACCAGCCACTCCTCAGAAGGAAAGTTGGGCAATCTACTTCCGTAGTGATGTTGTTGTTGCTGTTATGTGACGTCAAGTAGGACCCAACTCATAGCGACCCCTCCTTGGGTTTCCGAGGCAGTATCACTACAGTAGATTGCCCCATCTTTCTTCTGAGGAGTGGTGTGATAACGCCTTGGAAACCCAAGGAGGGGTCACTATGAGTGGGGGCTGACTCCAAGGCAACAACAATTGAAATGTGTCCAATTCAAAGTGTTTATCTAACTGCTTCATGCTTGACCCTCTTGTGAAATGTTTTGCCACCTTTTTACTGAAATCCCTTCCCTCCACTCTTCCCCTACCTAATAAAAGGTTCTCTCCCACCTTCCACCTCGCCAAAGCAATCCTCTTCTTTCCCTCAAATCTGAAAGGAAGGCCCATCCTTCTCCAAATCCTTTTCAGGCTAATCCCACCTGACTGTATTCATTACTTAAACCTTTTGGGGTGTGAAATGAGTTACAGTGCCTGACTGCAAATTGCAGCATGCATTAGTATTCTTTTTTGCTTTAGTGTGTCCAAAAGCTTAAAACATCCCTACCTAAGCTCCTGCTTCAGAGAATTCTTATCACAGCAAATACCGTCTGAGAAGTGAGACAAAAGAGAAGAAACCTAAGCAGAGCCTGAGAAGAGAGGCACAAGATTTAATGTCGTGCAAGTTGCCTTGGGATATCCTTCTTTCTCTCCCTAGAATTCACCTATGAGTTTATTTTTATACCCTATATATGACTTCAAAAAATAGTAATGGCTGTTTCTATAAGTTTCTTTTCTTACATAGAATAAAGTTCCCTTGAAACCAGGGGAGTCCTTTGAGGGTGCATAACCCATAAAAATGGTAATAAAGATTCAGAAATAGGTTCCCTGTCGGCATTAGTATGTCAACAAGGTAAAGTTATATGGTGTTTCTTTGTGATACCAAATGTCTACACAGCTAAACAAGTGTGTGATGGAGTTAGTTAGCTAGATCTGTAGACCCGGAACATTTTCAGGATTTTAAAAGTGCAAAATCTTCTTGAAATCTTCACATACAACCTCTGCAAACATTAACATCTATTCATTTTCTTAAAAGGAAAGTGAGATATGGACAGTCTCAATTGAACGGCTTAGTTGCAAAACTTAACATATTATTTCTTAACAATTCAACTTTTCAGTCATTCTGAGATTTATCTTTCAGAAATAAATAGTGACAACATGGAATTGCTAACCTTTTCTTTTTACCAAGAACATTTTTTAAAATGTGTTTTAAAATCTATTGCCTCCATTATTTCTTAAAATAATGAATAATTTGTTATAAACTTCTTCTGCTATTTTATGTTCTGTTTATATGTGAATGCCAATCAAGATAAACCATATTCAGTCAGAAATAATTGTGAGTTTGACTTGACAGACTTTGAAATGCTGGTAGTCCATTTCAAATTACATTCCATACTCTAACATCCAGCACCTTGAAAGGTTTATATGAACTGATGGCTTCTATGTGCTAAAATTTAATTTGAGAATTTATACTTTTTTTCCAAAAGAATAATTTGCTAAGTTATTCTAAATACTCCAAACCAACATAAGGGCAAAGTTAACTGCATTCTGTTTTATCATGTTAAGTCTGAGACTAAAAATGTAGAAAAGGCAATCTCAGAATATAAAATACATGTGTGTCTCTTTTCTGTGTGTATACATAATCTCTGTTTCTTCTTCATGGAACAATGAAAATGTTAGCATGGAATAGCATTTGAGAATTCCAGAGAAGAACAAGTGGCATTTCTTGAATATTCTTTGATCTTAAAGCTTAACCCTAGTCTTCCTTTCTTCTAAAAAAGACAAATGGTAAAACATTAGCTGCCAATAACGTTCTTAGTGCAATGCCACTAGAAGGTACATACACAATATGGGGTAGATAGGAAACTGATATATAAACAACTTTAATATTATTTAATTTAAGCCCTGTCTAGATTTCATTTTTAATTTCTTTCAAGGTCTGTCTTAAGAGAGATATCCTGGGGAAATAAAAGGAGGACAGCTAGCGATAATTGAAGAGTCTCAAATCCACATCTCTGAAATATATTTTTAATGAATTACTTTTCAAGATATTTCCCTAGTTACTAATGAGTACTTTAACACAGATTGCTTATCAGGTAACTATAAGTCACTTTAGAAGTGAAAAAGCAAAGCTCTTAGCAAACAGAAGTAGATATTATATTTTGCTAGCACTGTCATTCCCAGTTCACAATCTGTAACATGTATCCAAATCACCTGGAGGACTTGTTAAAAGACAGATCCCCAGGCCCACACCTAGAGTTTCTAATGTAATTGATCTAGGTGGAGATGGAAAACTTGCATTTCAAATTCACCCTTTGGTGAGGCTGATGCTGGTGGTCCAGAGAAGAAAATTTGAGAATCCCTGGGCTATGAATAAAGTTCAGAGTCAGAAATCTGGAAAACTACTTAGAAAATGTCCAATATACAAATATTCAACAGAATAAGGATGCTAGGGGTGTGGATGAAGGTGAAAGGAACAGATGTTTGAAAGGAAAAACGGAGAATAACTATGACCTTTACACTTGAAACAAAGATGTGTACTAGTATACCAATTTCAATGATATTTCTGGAGCCTGCAAGCAAAGTGAATAAAATTTGTGTCTCTTCGAATTGGATAGGTAGCTCTTGATATTTCTAAAAGGAAAGTATGGTGTGATAAATTCTACCAGAAGCGGTACCAATGTAGAGCCCTCTACTATATGTTTTGATCTGCATTCTGTCTTAATGTGATATCATTAAATCATTGTAATTGTTGTTGTTATGTGCCATGGAGTCATTAGCTAGAATGATTTTGAGTTGGTGCAGTCCTTCTTGACCTAGAGTGTTTCTGACTTTCTAGATCCTCACTGCCCTTTGAAATCATTATGCCTGTTTAGTTTTATTTTCTAAATTATAGCAAACACATTTTATATAAATATTTAAATAAGGTGATTCTTCTACTCACATTAGGTGAGTATCTTCAAAAACAGCATCAACAATGCTCATCTTTCTTTCATAAAGCTATTTCAGCATTTATTAAGGGAATGAACATTGCTTTGGGTACTTGTATTCCTTTCTCTGTTTATAATATATGAATTTTATATTTAGAAAAATGTTAAAGTTTGGAACACTAAACATATAGCCTCCCTTACTCTAACTAGCTGTTCAGTGGGCAAAAGATAACCCGACTCTCTCTCAGTTTATTGAAGGAGTTTTTCTATCTTGAAAAATAAACATACCTGCTATTAATATTCCTTGGAAATTTCCTATGCACAAATGGAAAAGAGTCAGAGTTGGTTATTATCTAGGGAAAATATTGCACTTTCTTTTGGAGGGGCAATGGGTGGCTCCATCATGACCAGGTGTATTCCAAAAGATCAAAACCACAAGATCTCCCCGATCACCAGTAGAAGAAATCAGGAATTAAAATTTTTCCAGACTGAAGACATATTTTTATAGCAAGATTAAAATCTAATGTAAATAAAAACAAGATATAAGATTAAGAATTGAGAAGACAAACATTTCTGGCTGAGCCAGGATAATTAAAAAAGGTCTATAGTTGAAAGCACGGCAGAGCTCTGGTAGCATAGGGCCTAAGACATTTGACTGCTAACCAGAATGCTGGCAGTTCAAACCCACCAGCCACTCCTCAGAAGGAAGGTTGGGCAATCTACTTCCATAGTGATACTGCCTCAAAAACCCTAGGAATGTCGTTATACGTCAGGTCTGACTCAATGGCATCTAACAACAACAACAACATAGTTGAAACCAGAATTATAAAATAAATCTGTTTTCAAGGATAGGAAAGTCCAGGGACTTAAATGCCTTTTGTCACAAGGAGATGTCTCATTTTCCACCCAGTTCTGGCTCACTGTTTGACACTTGCAGGTCCAGGTTATATACATCCTTTCAGAGTGGTCACAATGGTTTCTGGCTTTGAATTAGAGCTTGTGCTGCTTTGAATTGAACAAAATTTCATGAACAAAGCAATATTTTGAAAGGTAAATCCTAAAGATCTCTTTTTGCTATGTTGTTCTTAGGCAACATGCATTTTTTCAAAAGAGCATTAAATGGCACAGGAGAAGAGCTCAATAAATTATAGTGCAGCAACTTTCTGATATGTTGTCATTAAAATTGATCATTATGGAAACTACTAGAAAATATAAATGTGCCAAATGAAAACTCAGACACCAAAACAATATGTGCACAGATTTTTAATCTTATAAAATAATATGAGCATGCAAACAAGAACTAGAGATATCATGCAATAATAAAAATTACATTTCATGGCATTATGGGTAATTCTACTGATTTGCACCATTTTGTAGAGAGCAAAACATTTGAAATTTTATATTAAAATGTTAGTCTTTTCACATGGAATTCCATAATTTATTTTAATGTTCATAATAATAAATGACTGAAAGTGTGATTTTTTTTTTTTTTTTTTTTTTTTTAATTTGTGTGTTTTTCCCTAGGAGTGAGAACTCTTCCATGCCAATCTTCTCTACAACAGTCGGGCCATTTGTACAATTGAACACAGCACCTAATGGCAGCTTAATACTAACACCTAGGTGGGTAATAAAATCTGTTCTTTGGCTACTTGTACATGAACTGGAAATAAGATAGATTTAAAAGCCAGTCAAATTCAAATATTACCACATTTTTGCCAGATAATCTTGAAAGTTATTTGACTTATTTTATTCAACAAATCACAGAATCCTTGAATGATACAAACAGTGAAGTGCTCGACCACTACCAGGAATGTTGGTGGTTCAAGTCTACCCAAAGTAGCTTAGCAAGATCAGCCTGGTGATCTACTGATCTACTTCCAAAAAGTCATGACCTTCAAAATACTATGAAGCTGTTCTGCTTTATAATACATGAGGTCACTGTGAACAACTGTTAAAAAAAATCAAATCATCTCAAATAGTAACTAACTAGTTCTATCTGATAATACTGGCTAACCCTCATAGATTTAAGAAGGTTAAATCAGATATGGTATATGTAACTGTATAGCACACTGATAGTAACTCGGTAAAATTTAACTGAATCCCGTGTTTGCTCTTATCCCCAGATTCACAAAGAATTTAACAATATAGAAAGAAATTATGAGACCTGGGGAAAATAGATCTATTATTGATCATACTAAAGAGACTAGCAAAAATTAGATATCATTAAAAAAAAAAACAAAGAAGAGAAACATATCACGATACTATTTTCTCTGCTTTGCACTCTTTCAACAATATAACATCAATATTAAAGAAAGGAGTCCAGACTTCTACTTATGCCTACATATTCTCTTTTTCTATTTAATATTCAACTGACTCTAATAGTCTTTACTAACATTTTAAAAAATAATGTCCTTCTGGTATTCAAAGATTTATTTTAGCTTGGATTATGTCATTTCTCCTGTTTTGACATTAATAGTATTTTTTGTTTTAATTGGTTTCTGAATTTTACAGTACCACTGAAGTCCAGCAATGGGTGGGAGAAAGTAACAGCTAGAAGCCATAATTAGAGATAAGGATTTAAGATGCCATTTCCAGTACATTAGCTTGTAGTATTTTATACAGCATACTTAATAGTGAATAAAAGAAATAATACAGTAACTCAGCTATTTGTGGAAAGTTACCATTTCTATGAGTTAGAGAAGTAAAACACATTGGTAAAAAGTATTTTTAGTAGCAATCAAAGCACTCTGTACACAGTTGAATGTCTTATATGAATATTTCTTTGGGCATTGACAGATATTATTAGTGTCATGGTGGGGGATGGGTGAAGTAAAGCAGCTGCCAGTGATAAAACATGCTTCCTGATTTCAATTCCACAAAATATGTCTAAATTTAAATACCATTTGAGATCTTGAAATAGCTAGTACATTGAAGATTTCTTCTATTTATGTCCTACAGACATATAGAAGATAGATTTTTAAAAAAACAAAGGAAAGTTTTTCTACATATTTGTTTTAATTATATGCATGCATCAGAACAGAACTAGGTTTTCCATGCTCATCAACAAAATTCCAGAATCAACTTACATTCATGTCACTGTTACATGTATTTTCATGTTACTTGAAAGAGACAACACTTACAGATATAGGTAACTTCAACCTTCTGTCACTCCACTGAGTCAGCCACTCCATGGAAGGAAGACTGGGTAATCTACTTCTGAAAAGATTTACCACATCAGAAACTCAAAAGGGATCACTATGATATGAGTTGGAGTCGTCTCAATGGCAGTGAGGTTTTTTTTTTTTTTTTTTGGTAATCATTTGGAACATGAGATATCATTGTTAATGTTAGATGGATCTTGGCTAAAAGCAAAAAATACCAAAAAGTTGTTTACCTGTGTTTTATTGACTAGGCAAAGGCATTTGAATGTGTGGATTGTAACAAATTATGAATAGCATTGCAAACTATGGGAATTCCAGAGAACACTTCATCATACTCATGAGGAACACATAAATAAACCAAGAGGTAGTCACTTGAACAGAATAATGGGCTGTTGCATAGTTTAAAATTAGGGAGCGTGTAAGGGTTGTATTCTTTCATCATGCTTATTCAGTTTGTATGCTGAGCAAATAATCCAAGAAGCTGGACTATATGAAGAAGAACGTGGCATCAGGTTTGGAGGAAGTCTCATTTAAGAACCTACGATATGGAGATGACACAACCTCAGTTGCTGGAAGTTAAGATGACTTGAAGGACTTACTGATGAAGATCAAAGTCTGCAATCTTCAGTACAGATTACACTCAACATAAAGAAAAGAAAAATCCTCACAATTGCACCAATGAGCAACATCACAATAAATGGAGAAAAGATTAAAGTTGTCAAAGATTTCATTTTACTTGTATCTACAATCAACACCCAAGCAGGAGTCAAGAAATCAGATGTAGTATTGCACTAGGCAAATCTGATGCAAAAGATCTCTTTAAATTGTTAAGAACAAAGACATCATGTTGAAGACTAAGGTATATCTAACCCAAGGCATGGTATTTTCAGCAGCCCCATATGCAAGTGAAAGCTGGACCATGATTAAGGAAGACAGAAGAAGAATTGATGCCTTTTAATTGTTTTGGTGAAGACTACTGAAAATATAACATGGACTGCCAGATGAACAAATAAATGTGTCCTGAAAGAGGTGCATCTAGAATGCTCCCTAGGAGCAAAAATGACCAGACTTTGTTTCACTTATTTTGGTCATGTTTTTAGAAGGGACCATTCCCTGGAGAAAGATATCATGCTTGATAAAGTGGAGGGTAAGCAAAAAGGGGAATACTTTAACAAGAAAGGTGATCCCACAGAATGTGGAAATTATAGAACAGTATCATTAATATCACACACAATTAAGATCTTACTGAAGATAATTCAGAAACGTTTGCAGCAGTATATTGACAGAGAACTTCCAGAGGTTCAAGCCAGATCCAGAAGAGGACGTGGAACAAGGGATATCATAGCTGTTGTCAGATGGATCTTGGCTCAAGGCAAAGAATACCAGAAAGATGTTGACTTGTGTTTTATTGACTATGCAAAGGCATTTGATTGTGTGGATCATGACAAATTATGGATAACATTGAGAAGAATGGGAATTCCCGAGCACTTGATTGTACTCATGAGGAATCTGTACCTTGACCAGGAGGCTGTCGTTCGAACAGAACAAGGGGACACTACATGGTTTAAAATCAAGAAGGGAGTGTGACAGGGTTGTATCCTTCCTCCACACTTATTCAATCTATATGCTGAGCAAATAATCCGAGAAGCTGGAATATATGAAGAAAAACGTGGTATCAGGATTGGAGGAAGAATCATTAACAGCCTGAGATATGCAGATGATACAACTTTGCTTGCTGAAAGTGAGGATGACTTAAGGCACCTACTGATGAAGGTTGAAGAATATAGTCTGAAATATGGATTACGTCTCAATATAAAGAAAACTAAAATCCTCACAACTGAACCAATGAGAAGCATCACAATAAATGGAGAGAAGATTGAGGTTGTCAAAGAATTCACATTGCTTGGTTCTACAATCGATGGCAATGGAAGCAGCAGTCAGGACATTAGACAACGTGTAACATTGGGAAAGCCAACTGCGAAGGAACTGTATCAAGTGCTGAGGAGCAAGGATATCTCCTTGAGGACTAAGGTGCACCTGACACAAGCCATGATATTTACAATCGCCTGGTATGCATGTGAGAGCTGGACAATGAGTAAGGAAGACCGAAGAAGAGTTGATGCTTTTGAGTTGTGGTGCTGGCAAAGAATGCTGAAAGTACCATGGACTGCTAAAAGAACTAACAGATCTGTCCTGGAGGAAGTGCAGCCAGAATGCTCCTTGGAAGCAAGAATGGTCAGACTTCATCTCACCTATTTTGGTCATGTTGTAAGAAGGGACCATTCCCTGGAGAAGGATGTCATGCTTGGTAGGGTGGAGGGTCGACGAAAGAGGGGGAGGCCTTCAACAAGATGGATTGACACGGTGGCTGTGATGATGGGCTCAAGTATAGCAGGGATTGTGGGGCTGGCGCGGGATCAGGCAGTGTTTCGTTCTGCGGTGCATGGGGTCACTATGAGTTGGCAACGACTCGATGGCACTTAACAATAACAACAACCTTCAACAAAATGGATTGACACAGTAACTGCAATATTAGCTTCAAGCATAACAAGGATTGTGAGGATGTTGCAGGACCAGACAGTGTTTTGTTCTATTGCACATAGGATCACTACAGATCAGAGCTGACTAGATAGCACCTACCAAAAACAATAAAAATCTCTTTCTGATTCAGTCACATTATTTATAATGGGTTGACAGAAAATCAGACACACATGTATTTAGTTAGTTAGTTAGTTAGTTGATTGGTTAGTTAGTTAGAGATGATTATGGTTATTACCCCATGAAAACAGGTGCTTTTAAAAATAATCTTAGCATTTATGGTTGTATTAAAAAATAAGATTTCAAGGAAAATGATTCTTCCAAGTCTGAAAATTCACTGACCTCATGTCCATAGATTCTCCTGTTGCTAGGGAAAAGTGAGACTCAGGCTACTGTTTCCTGCCACTGAGAAAAGGCTGCCCAAAGTGATGCCAGCAATTTGATCCACTGTAACTGGAAATGTACCAAATGGCACTGGGCTCCTTTTCCTGCCGATTCTTTGGACCACTTCAGTAGTAGTCATACACGTAAATGGAAATTTGACTTCATATTTATTGATAAAAATTATGTACTAACACTGTGCTTGTTGTTGTTATGTGCTGTTGAGTCGGACCTGACTCATAGCGACCCCTCCTTGGGTTGCCGAGGCAATAACACTAGGGAAGTAGATTGCCCCATCTTCCTTCTGAAAAGTGGCTGGTGGGTTTGAACCACCAGCCTTCTGGTTAGCGGTCAAGTGCCTTAGGCACTATGCTACTAGAGCGCCCAACACTGTGCTAGATAGAGGATATAAAGTGTTTATCAAAATAATACTTACTTATTAACGTGATAGACACTGTGTTAGGTATATATTCAGTATTTTTTTTTCAATAACCCGTGGGTTATTTTCAATCCATGAAAAAGCTCTGTGACTTAGGTACTGTTGTTCCACTATGTGGAAGAGGAAATAAAGATTCATTGTTAAGAAAGGCTTGAACAAATTCACTAAACTAGTAGACGATGTTGAGATTTTAATCCAAGATTTCTTGACTTCAAAACCTGCTAGTTTAGCACTCTAATGTACTATCTTCTAACTTCCCCACAGCAGCAGCTCACTTCAAAGAGCAACTCTTCAGTAGAGAAAGAAAGGTAAAACATAACCTTTTCAACAAGAATAAAGCCATGGTATTGGACAGAAATTGAGAGAGAAATTAGTACCTTTGGGAACTAATGGTAGATAAAAACACATCCACTTGTATCATAGTGTTGCCCCACTGGGCTCTGAGAAAAACACAGAGTCAAGGAATTGTCTTTTTTCCTTTAAGGGTATCTAGCAGGAGCTCTGGTATCACAGTGCCTAAGGCACTTGACTGCTAACCAGAAGGCTGGTGGTTCAAACCCACCAGCCACTCCTTGGAAGGAAGGTTGGGCAATCCTACTTCTGTAGTGATACTTCCTCGGAAACCCAAGGAGGGGTCGCTATGAGTTGGGGCCGACTCGATGGCAAATAACAACAACAACAACAGCAAGTCTTGGACTCCAGAAGCAAAGGTTAGGACAGTAATTTTACTTCTCACCAATTTCATAACTAGATTTGACAAAGCGCAGATTCACTGTTCATTCAGAGAAGAGTTTGAACAACTTATTCCTCTGAACTAAGACATGAACATGTGTGTGTTTATGTATGAAAATTTTGCATAACCAAAATGTATGGAGGATGAGGTGCAAAGTTCAATGTAATTTCGTGGTTCACTACTAAGTTAACCTGAAACTTCTCTGTGCTTGCTAAAAATATGTATTGTGAAATGTATTAACACTTTTCATTATATTCGTACATACCACAGAGTGTTAACCATAGCTCAGTCTTTCCAAGACCATTGAAAATGTGTCAGAAAGATGGACCATTTTGAGTATGAATTGATAAGTACTACAGATGTGGAAATATATTGGATGAAGGTTCACAGAATACTAGGACACATCCTGAAAACTACTATTTAATCCCTAAACTACAAGTGTGTAATAGAAGGGGAGTTAGTCGAGATGTCTTCTCTAGGACTTTATGGAGACATAGTGCTTATATGTCTTATAACAAGCACATATATATAGATGGATAAAAACATATACATGCATATTGGCTATTAAGAGACCCTTGTTGCACAGTGGCTGAGCATTCACCTGCTAATTGAAAGATTGGTGGTTTGAACCCACTAGCCCCTGGAGAAACATTTGACAGTCTGCTTTTGAAAGGAATTACAGCCTTGGAAACCCTCTGAGGGTAGTTCCACTTGTCCTATAGGGTCACTTAACTGATTCAATGACAAGAAGTTTGGTTTCATTTTTTGCTAGGTTGATTTCCTTATATTTCATTTGAAATCATTCTTTATTTTAAATAGTATGTCAAACACATAACAAGGATGTATCAGAAACACTGAATTGCTTTGATTGTATTTAGAATCTCATGTGCATCTTAGGTCTGGTTTGCGTAGTTGTTTATTATTATTATTATTATTATTATTATTATTTTATTGTTTTACTTTTCCCTAAAAGTTCAAGCACCTAAACAAAATGAACAGTTAGACTTAATATTGTTAAATATATAAATATAAACCATAAAATTTATGTGTGTATATGTTGTGGTATGCGTATATTTAAAAGCAGCTAGTATTTGCAGTGGTTGCTTAGGAAAAACTGGTCAAGAAATCTAATTCATTATGTTATACTGATCTCTAGTGGTTGCTAAGTATACAACATTTTCAAAGATTCCTTTGTTTAAATTTTTGCTTAAAATTGAATCCTTGGCTTTTGAAAACTTTGATATCCAATTGTTTTAATAGATGGTAAGTTTTAAAATCATTTACACCTACACTGTGTTTTATATTTGACTGTGTACATATCTGCCACCTTGAAAATGGCACCTGCCATTTGGTCATAATTGCATTCCTTAAATCAAGTCCACAGTCAAATTCACAGTACTACTGTATAGCTGTCAGGTTGCCAATATAAAGACATGTTCTGTGTTGCATATTGGTGAAATCTAAGGTTGGTTCAAGTGAAATAACAAGAGCTACCATTTCTCTAGTGTGTACTGTGGATAAGACACAATAATAATTGTGTTCTTTTCATTTTCACAAAATTTCAATAAGTAAGTGCTATTATTCCCACAGAGTCTCAGCAATATTGAGCTACCTATCCAAACTCACACAAAAAGTAAGAATGCAAAATAAGGTCTATTTGACTTCTAAACCAGATTTTTCTCCTATATATTTCAGTCTTTCTGAATCCCATGTTGTTGTTATGTGCCCTCGAGTTGGACCCGACTCATAGAGACCCCTCCTTGGGTTACTGAGGCGGTATCACTACTGAAGTAGATTGCCCCATCTTCCTTCCAAGGAGTGGCTGGTGGGTTTGAACCATCAGCCCTCTGGTTATCAGTCCAGTGCCTTAGGCACTATGCTACCAGAGCTCCTTCTGAATTCCATGTATGATGTTTATGTTACAAAGATGATTTTGCTAAGAAAATAAGACTGCTTACATTGCTTTACTTTAAAATGTTTACTACACAATTTTTGAAATATAATTGTTCTTTATTTACAGTAACAAATGTTTACAAGATTTGCTGATTCTGTTACAATGTAACCATAAAAGTAAGTAAATATGCTGTTATATTCTCTTCTACTGTCTTCAGTTTAAAATTCTGAATACAGTACAGTTAGCCCTTGCTGTCCTGGGAGGGAGCAAGGAGGAAGGAATTAAGTAGTCAAAGCAATTCTTCAAAGACCAAGGGAAAACATAAACTGCTATTTATATAGCATTTACATTGTATTTGCTATTTACATAGCATTTACATTGTATTAGGTATTTGGGATAGCGGTTAAAGCATTGGGCTGCTAACCAAAATGTCAGTGGGTGGTTGGAAACCACCAGCCATGGGAGAAAGATGAAGGAGTCTGCTTCCATAAAGATTTACAGCCTTGGGCCAGTTCTATCCTGTCCTGGAGAGTTGCTATAAGTCAGAATCCACCCTATGGCAGTGGATTTCTTATTTTAGAGATAATTTAAATTATACAGGAGGATGTTGTTGTTGCTTTTAGGTGCCATCCAGTCATCTCTGACTCATAATGACCCTATGCACAACTGAAAGAAACACTGCCCACTCCTGCACCAGCTTCACAGTCCTTGCTATACCTAAGCCCATCTGGGCAGCCACTGTGTCAATCCAAAGGGGCCTTCCCCTTTTTCTCTGACCCTCCACTTTACCAAGCATGATATCTTTCTCCTGAGAATGGTCCCCTCTGACAACATGATCAAAGTACATGTCGTGTACTTTGACCATTTTGCTTCCCAGCAGCATTCCAGCTGCACTTCTGGGACAGATTTGTTCATTTTTCTGTCAGTCCATGGTACTTTCAGTATTCTGTGCCAATATCACAACTGAAAAAGCATCAACAACACTTCTTTGGTCTTCCTTATTCATTGTCCAGCTGTCATATGCACATGAGGCTACTGAAAACACCTTGGCTTGAGTTAGGTGCACTTTAGTCTTTGCTCTTCAGCACTTGAAAGAGGTCTTTTGCCACAGATTTGCCCAAGGCAATAATACATCGCCTGTTTTGACTGCTGCTTCCATTGGTGTTGATGGTGGAAACAAGCAATATGAAATCTTGGACAATTTCAATCTTTTCTCCATTTATTGTGATGCTGCTTATTGGCCCAGTTATGAGGATGTTTGTTTTCTTTATATTGAGGTGTGATCCATACTGCAGATTGTAGTCTTTAAAATCTTCATCAGTAAGTGCTTCAAGTCATCCTCACTTTCAGCAAGCAAAGTTGTGTCATCAGAGTATCACACCTTGTTCATGATTCTTCCTCCAATCCTGAGGCCACATTCTTCTTCATATAGTCCAGCTTCTCAGATTATTTGTTCAGCCTGCAGATTGAATAACTATGGTGAAAGGATACAACCCTGACACACTCCTATCCTGATTTTAAGCCATGCAATATCCCTTGTTCTGTTTGAATGACAGCCTCCTGGTCTATGTACAGGTTCCTCATGAGTACAAATAAGTGTTCTGAATTCCCATTCTTCTCAATTTTAGCCATAGTTTGTTATGATCCACACAATCGAATGCCTTTGCATAGTCAATAAAACATAAGCAAACATTTTTCTGGTATTCTTTCCTTTGAGCCAAGATCCATCTGACATCAGCTATGATATCCCTTGCTTCACATCCCCTTCTGAATCCAGCTTGCATTTCTGGAAGTTCCCTGTCAATATACTGCTTCAACCATTTTTGAATTGTCTTATTCAATAAGATTTTACTTGCATGTGATATTAATGATATTGTTTGATAATTTCCACATTCTGTGAGATCACCTTTCTTTGGAATGGGTACAAATATGGATCTCTTCCAGTCAGTTGACCAGGTAGCTGTCTTCCAAATTTCTTGGCATAGCCGAGTGAGTGCATCCAGTGCAGCATCCATTTGTTGAAACAATTCCTGGAGCCTTCCCCTCGACACCACCAATTCCTTCAGTGCAGCTTCCACTTTTCCCTTCAATACTACTAGTTCTTGATTGTATGCTACCTTCCGAAATGGATGAACATCAACCAATTGTTTTTGGTACAGTGATTTTTTGTATTCCTTCCATCTTCTTTTGATGTTTCCTGCATTATTCAACATATTGCCCATAGAATCTATCAATATTGCAACTCAGGACTTAAATTTTGTTTTCCTCAATTCTTTCAGCTTGGGAAATGTTAAGCTTGTTCTTCTCTTTTGATTTTCTAACCCCAGGGCTTTGCACATTTCATTATAGTAATTGATTTTTTCTTCTCAAGCTGCTGTTTGAAATCTGTTCAACTCTTTTATCTTGTCATTTCTTCCATTTGTTTTAGCTGCTCTCTGCTCAAGGACAAGTTTCAGAGTCTCTTCTGATATCCATGTTGGTCTTTTCTTCCTTTCCTGTCTTTTTAACAACCTTTTGCTTTCTTCATGGATGATGTTCTTGATGTCATCCCACATTTCACCTGGCTTTCTGACACTGGTGTTCACTGCATCAAGTCTGTTCTTCAGATAGTCTCTGAACTCAGGTGGATTACAATCTAGGTCCTATTTTGGTTCTCATGGACTTTTTTATAATTATCTTCAGCTTCAACTTGAACTTGCATATGACCAATTGACAGTTGATTACACAGTCAGCTCCTGGCCTTGTTTTGGCTGAAGATATTGAGCTTATCCATTACCTCTTGCCACAGGTATAGTCAATCTTATTTCTGTGTATTCCATCTGGTGAAGTTCATATGTATGGCCACCATTTGTGTTGTTGAAAAAAGGTATTCGCAATGAGTAAGTTGTTGGTCTTGCAAAATTCTATCATGTGATCTCATCGTCATTTCTATCACCAAGGCCATATTTTCCAACTACTGGTGATTCTTCTTTGTTTCCAACTTTTGTATTCTAATCACCAATGATAATCAGTACAACTTGATTGGAAATTTGGTCAATTTCAGAATGTAGAAGCTGGCAAGAATCTTCAATTTCCTCACTTTTGGCTTTGGTGGTTGGTGCTTAAATTTGAATTATAGTAATATTAACTTGTCTTCCTGGTAGGTGTATGGATATTATCTTGTCACTGACAGCAGTTTGCTTCAAGATAGATTTTGAAACATTCTTTGTGACAATGAATGCCACGCCATTCTTCAATATGACATTCCTAGTATAGTAGATCATACGGTTTTGTTATTCAGATTGGCCAAAACCAGTCCATTTCAGCTTACTAATGCCTAAGATATTGATTTTTATGCATTCCATTTCATTTTTTACAACTTCCAATTTTCCCAGATTCACACATAGTGCATTCCATGTTCCAGTTATTAATGGATGTTTCTTCTGTTTCCTCCCATTTGGAGTCATATGGGAGGATGAGTGTGAGTTATTTCCAAACACTATGGCTTTTTATATAAGAGACTTGAGCATCCTCAGATTTTGGTATCCCTTGGGGAAGACATGGGGTTTTCTAGAACTAATCCCCACAGATGCTGATGAATGACTGCATTTATGTCACTTGAAATTATTTTGTAGTGTTCCATTAAATCTTCATGATTAGAAAAAACTCGCCTAAATAAACTTTTTTTTCCCCCTCAATGAATTTACTAGCATGTGGAAAAAAAATGGTGGCTCAAGAAGTCAGCCCAAAAATTGTTGGAGGAAATAATGCCAAGGAAGGGGCCTGGCCCTGGCTTGTTGCTCTGTATTACGATGGACGACTGCTCTGTGGTGCTTCCCTTGTCAGCAAAGACTGGCTGGTGTCTGCAGCACACTGTGTGTATGGGTGAGTTTCGGTGTCCATGTTCAAGATGGATCACCACAGCAGACATCACTGACCATCCCCAGTTCATGCAGGCTTACAAAATCACTCCATAGGAGAAATGCTCCTACTATTTATGACATTATAAACTTTCATTAGATATTTTCATCATTATGTTTACTCCAAAACCAAACTCGCTGACATTGAGTTGATTCCAACTCATTGGGTTTCCAAGGCTATAAATCTTTACAGAAGCAGACTGTTTCATCTTCCTTCCATTGAATGGCTGGTGGGCTTGTACTGCTGACTTTCTGCTTAGCAGCCAAATACCTTAACCACTACACCACTAGAGTTCCTTGTATTAGGTTTCCTACTAAATAAAAAGGAGCTCTGGTAGCATAGTTCCTAAGGCACTTGATTGCTAACCAGAAGGCTGGCGGTTCAAACCCACCAGCCACTCCTCGGAAGGAAGGTTGGGCAATCCTACTTCCGTAGTGATAACTGCCTCAGAAATCCAAGGAGTGGTCGCTAGGAGTTGGGGCCGACTTGATGGCAAATAACAACAACAACTAAATAAAAACTGATTTTTTTTAAAATTTTTTCATGAGGTAAGCATTAAATGGTGTGAAATTAGTATTTCATTTATAAATTAGGCTGGTTATCATTCAATTAAAAGGAGTCCTAGTGGCACAATGTTTAAAGTGCATAATCCTAGGAACCCAGAGAATGGGGACCCATAGACTTGTTGATCTGCTTAAAATCCCTGGTGATCTGCCCACATAAACATTCACACCAAAAATAGCCTATGGCCATTGAGTCAATTCTGACTCATAATGGCCTTATAGAACAGGGTAGAATTGCCTCATAAGGGTTTCCAAGGCTGAAATCTTTACATTAACAGATTGCCACACCTTTAGTGGCTGGGAGATTGGAATACCTACCTGTCACTTAGGAGCTGACTGCTGTAAGTTCTGTGCCACTTTCATAAAGGCTCTTTCATGAAGATTTCAGCCTAGGAAACACTATGGGCAGTTATACTCTGTACTATCATCTCACTATGAGTTAAGGATCCACTCAACAACCTACAACAACACTATTCAATTAGATCAATATTCAATACATCAATATAAAAAAGCATGCATAGATAGCCCTCAAATTAGAAATATACTTTGCTTTAGAAGTTCATGAGTAAGTGCTTTGTTGTGAACTAGGATTAAAAATCAAATGAACAAAAATATAGCAGCAACTTAATTCTCTAGTCAGATATAGTTTCATACTTCCTGTAATTGAAATTTAGGGATAATATTCAGTATATCCAACTACCGGTGATTCTTCTTTGTTTCCAACTTTTGCATTCCAGTCACCAGTGATACCAAGCAGATTTTATATTGCCCCATGGTTATAGGTGAGGAGAGACAACTCAGGGATGCCCAAAGTAGTAGGCAGGAAGAGCAGGAGAAAGGGGATTAAAAGCCAGGAAGCCAGAGAGAAGAGCAATCAGCTGAAGGGATTAGGTGAGGAGAGGAAACTCGGCCCACCCACAGTAGCAGGCGAAAGGGGATAAAAGCCAGGAACCTGGGCAGAGGAGCAGTCAGCCCCAGGGACAACTCAGGGACACCCAAAGCAGTAGGCCAGAAGAGCAGGAGAAAGGGGATTAAAAGCCAGGAAG